TGCAGCAGTGGAACCTTTTACGGTAAAATTTCACAGAACAGTTAAAAATGTTGGCCTTGCAAACTCCACTTACAAGGCCATTATGTCTCCTAATGCCAAAGTTGACATCAAGGTGGTGCCAGAAGTTATTTCCTTCGCGTCCTTGAATGAGGAGAAGACTTTTGCTGTAACGGTTGCTGGAAGTGGTTTGCCATATGAATCGCGAGTTTCTGCTTCACTGGCCTGGTCTGACGGTACTCATAGTGTTAGAAGTCCAATTGTTGTGTACACAGTACCTAGAATAATGAGTAAAGAGACCTAACATTTCCAAATGTGTTAGTATGACTTTTAAAGGGCTTCATTCAGCTTACTGGGAAGAAAATACGATGCTTAAAGATTCCTTGTCATTGCCCGGTTTAAGCTTTTTTTTTCTTCTTCTTGTTTTAGCATTCAACAATAGCCAATCATGGAAATCTTCAGTTATATGTGCCTTCCCTATTGTCTTTCTCACTATGAGCTTATTATTGTGCAAAGACACTAATGAAGAAAGAAAGTAGAAAATAGAAAATGCCTTGCTCCAAAACAAAATGCCATTTAAATGTTGGCCTTGCAAAGTTCACTTACATGACCAACATTTTCCCAAATTCCAGATTGATCCTTAATTTCCTTTAGTCTTTGAATGAGGAGAAAAGGTTGGATTAGTTAACGCTAATTGCTATTTTTAAGTTTACTAGTTACTACTTTAATTGCAGACGTGGGTTAGACCAGGCCATGGCAGTAAGCTCCCCCTCTTGCACTCAATTGACATTAGTTCTACAATAAATTGCACTTAAGCACCAAAAAAAAAAAAAAAAAAAAAAAAAAAAAAAAAAAAAAAAAAAAAAAAAAAAAAAAAAAAAAAAAAAAAAAAAAAAAAAAAAAAAAAAAAAAAAAAAAAAAAAAAAAAAAAAAAAAAAAAAAAAAAAACAAGACTGTTAAGGTCTGCGCAAGCACAATGTGTGGTACTTACCTTGAAAACCCAGCAAGTTTTTTTTTAATTTTTTTTTTTTTCAGTTGTGAAATCCAATTATACCCTTCACTCATGAGAGCTTCTCTCATCTTCGACTGTTAAGTTAGAGCCCTACGCCTAAACCCCTCTCTGTAGAACTAGGAGTAGTTTCTCATCTGCCAAACAAAGCCTTATCAATCTCATTGATCAACTCGTCTCTTTCATCATACTTCTAATGGCGACTCGTGCATTTTCAACATCAAAGTTCGCAATTTTCTCCTCAATACTCCTTCGTGGCCTAAAAAGAACAACCACCCAAGAGACCCCATTGCTTCGAAAATTCAGAATTCCAGAATCAGAAATCGAGTCGTGGAAACCCATTTGTGGGTTTAGGCTATACCACGATGGGAGGCCGAGAGGACCGCTTTGGAGGGGCAAGAAGCTGATTGGCAAAGAAGCGCTTTATGCGATATCGGGTTTGAAGCGGTTCAAGGATGACGAAGAGAAGCTTGGCAAGTTTATAAAGAACCATGTTTTGAGACTCTTGAAGATGGATTTGATTGCTGTTCTCACTGAGCTTGAGCGTCAAGAAGAGGTCAATTTGGCAATTAAGGTACTCTTTTCTGTGCTTAAATCTAGTGTCTTTTTGCATTTGCTCTTCTGGGTTGTTCTGAAATTTTCTTTCTTGGGTATATAACTTGTGCTATGTAAATCCACTTAAGTATTGCTAGTATAGAATTGTCGTGGAAAGGATTTCAGTGGGTGCTCGTTATGTGTTTGATTAAATGCACAAAAGTAATGTGCGCTCTTGGACACCTTGAATATGCTTAGCTAATGTTTAACAGTTTAAGAAGCATTATCACCTTCTTTTCCTGATGCAAGCCACTTCGTCAACTTAGCTTTAGTATTAGTTTTGCTGGGTTGTATTTCTGTGAGTAATGCAAGCTCGTGGTGTATGGTAAACTTGGATTGGAGAGGGTCCTTTTTTAGGCCAATTCCATCTTTGTCATATGGTTAAATTGGCCTTAACTTTTCACTTGTAGTTATAGATGTTAAGATAGCTTTTTGGATTTGGAAATAGCTAGTAATTGTTAAATCTTGTTGAAATCTCATTCTCAAGATTACCATATGAACAAATGACTCAGGAAGACCACATTGCCATATGAAAGTGAGAAACAAGAGTAGTTTGTGTTCACATTTTGGGTTTATTATTTCCTTCAAGCGCTCAGGTTCAACCCAAACTCTTCCCATGCACAGATGGTGTTTTCATTTTAATTGTTTCTCAGAATACAAATTATAGCATGCTGTGGTTTGCAGACTTGTTTCTCAGAACGCGTGAGAAAAAAATGGATTTAGTTCATTATTTTGAATGCAATTCCTTCTAGATTTCCACCATCGTGATTTTTGTTTCAATTGACTGTTCAACTTTTGTTTAAATTGACTATTGAGTTTTATTTTTCTTTCTCCAATTTTTGATTGGGCTTACAAGCCACTCAATTAATTTTCAGGTGTTTAATGTGATTCGAAAGCAAGATTGGTACAATCCTGATGTTTATCTGTATAAAGACTTAATCATTTCATTAGCAAGATCTAAGAAAATGGATGATGTTATGCTGCTGTGGGACAGCATGAAAAAGGAGGATCTATTCCCTGATTCTCAAACATATACAGAAGTTATTAGGGGTTTTTTGAGCTCTGGTTCTCCTGCCGATGCAATGAACATATATGAAGACATGAAGAACTCTCCAGATCCACCAGAGGAGCTACCATTCCGTATTTTGTTGAAGGGGCTTCTACCACACCCCCTTTTGAGAAACAGAGTCAAGCAAGACTTTGAGGAGCTCTTTCCTGAACAGCATGTGTATGATCCTCCGGAAGAGATATTTGGTGTGCGCTGCTGAGGCTTGCAATCTGTGCTTCATGCCTTTTTTGTAGAACTTAGCATGCACCACACGCATGTTATATTGATTCTGTTATTGTCATCATCCAAATTGAAGTTTATTTGGTTCCAGGGCTTCAATTCATTTCTCACTTCATTGGAGGAGGTTGGAACGTAAAATTGCTATTCTTCTTTAGAGCATCGAAGTTCGGAGCTCTTGAAACGTAACTTGTCATGTGCTGCAAAATGTTCTTCTAGCCATGTGAACTGTTAGACCTGCCTGTGTCGCCATCGATGAGCATGTACATTAACTGATATGAGTGAAGGTGAATTCTGTACCCTGTATATCTTGGCACAGCCAATGTCTAGGGAAGCTTAAGGTGCCCTCAGGATTTTTAGGTGGCGAAACACACTGTTGCTTTACCGTGCAAACACCAAATTTAACGAGGTGGACAATGGAATCGTGAAAGTTTAAATGCCCAAATGACTAAATGTGCACTACAACATAGAAATCAGATGCTCAAATAGTATGGTATAAACCGGTGGTTTGGTTTTGCCTCCAGTTTTGACTGCAAGAAACCATTTGGCCCCCAAAAAAACAGCACAAATATTTCTCGGGCCAAAGAGAAAACTGTATTATGGTTTTCGTTGCCCACGCAAAACGGTTCGGGTTTAAACTGCAAGATATTGAATTTTCCTGTAAAAGTAGTTTGCTAAAAGATGCACAATGTCCTCGCTCTCTTGCACTCAAATTCACGTTCCCCTTTCTGCAGTTTAGAGTAGTTTAGACTGTCACCTGTATATCTTGCACTCAAATTCACATTCTCTTTCTGCAGTTTAGACCAGTTGAGAGTACACCTGTATATAATTAAAAAAAAATTAATGACTAATCAGATATTTTTTGTATGAATCCTAGGTGAACTCCACCTACTTACCAAAAGGTTAACTCCACCGACTTACCAAAAGGTGCACACATGTCTTTTGATTCTTTTATTGAAAGTAGATGCTGGAATGAGAATAATTCCTACTTCTTTCCCTTTCTATTCATAGTAACTAAACTAAACATGCCAAAAACAACTACTCTTCTTTTGCACTTAGTTTCAGTCACTTTTTAAATTATTATTGTAGTGTTTTTTTATTCCATTTTTTTTATAACTATTATTGTGTAGACTAGTTAGAGGGGGTTAATTTGTTTATGTTTAAAGAATTATTTATTTATTTATGACTTTGGTGTTGGCTTTACAGTAGTAATAAGAAGTTGTTGAATAGTGTCGCTTAATCCTGCATTGTACATTCCAAACAGTAAGGACCAAAAGCAAGGGTAAAATTTGCTGAAGAAATCCAAAGGACCTAGAACCAATAATTGTACCACCTAGCTATGTCGTAAGCATCCCACTTTAATCCAAAGAGACCCACTTCAAACCAAATCCACAATCAAACAAAACTAAATTTCAGCTACAATCATGTTCACATACTTCTGCCCTTTCTATTCATCACATCTCATGCTTTTCGAATATTTTCCTTATGTCATATAGATCTCAATTTTACGAGAAAAAGACTTTCCCGTCATCGGTTGTATACAATTATGTATGATGCATATCATTTTTCTCAGTCTTCATGAGCTATGGCCCTACATAAAGGACTGGTGGGTTTACAAGTGAATAGTACATTGATATTAAAAGGGAGAGAATGTTGGACCAAGCACTACTTGAAGCACATCCGACAGAGGAAACCTTATCTTTTTATCCTCTTGATTTCTCTTTCCCTCTCACCGTAGTCTTCAAACAAAAATCTATCGCACAATAGGCCATTGGCTAGGGAGATGAAGTAAAAGCCTATGTATAGGCATGAGAGCTAGAGAGAGATGAGATGAAGATACTCCCACGATTATGAGTGGCATTATATCAACACGGAAAATACACGGACGGTGTCTTTAACTCAAGTGGCAAAAAGAGAGTAAAGTTACTGGATTAGAATTAGGATATGTTAAAAGGTTGGATCCCCTTCGATATAACCATAAAATATCAACCTATTCAATCGTCCACCTACGAAAAACGTGGCACTCCCCGATTAGTCCATGTGGGAAGGACATGCGGAACCCACGTGGCGCTTATCCCTTATGTGTGTGGGGAACAGGAATATTTATGGAAACCGCAAGGGAAGTTCCAAATCTTTGATGGGAAACGGGAAATAAATGTTGTTTGCATGAAAATAGAAAGAGGGTGTTTTATATTGGTGATGGTGTCACATGGGCGGGCACCACTTGCAGTGCCGTCTTTTGTAGAACTACCAATATAAATTTGGCTTCAGATAGTGCGGGATCTTCATCACGTGCTCTGCTTTTCTAGTTTTCTTCCTCCTGCAAAATCTTATCTGCTTTGCTTTGTTTCATCAACTGGGTTTTTCTTGGGAACTGCTTTTTTGGAGAGTGCTTTTGTTTGGAGTGGCTTTTTGAGTTGACTCAGAGAAAGAAAGGAAGTAAAATGGAGAGTGCTAAGAACCAGGGCAGCGCAGCTTCCTCATTGACTGCTGATCTCTTTGGTGTCAAGGAGCCACCACCCAAGTCTTCTACTGGGATTTTTGCATCTATTTTTCCACCTCCATCTCAGGTATATATGATTCTACTGAATTCATATTTATGCTGTCTGCTTGTTCTGCATAGCATAAGTGTCTCCTGCCAGGAAGCTGCTTTTAAAAGCAGAGAAATTGGGTGAAGATGAATTTGGCTTTTACTTAGGTTTCTTTTTGCGGTTACATATGCTGCTTATAATTTTTATGATAAACTTTTGTGAACTTTATAATAGAGAATTGAGAATTCTTTAAAAAGGAAAAGTAAATTCTTGCTCAGAAGTACCAAACGGGGGGGCGGGGGAAGAAAGTTATTATGGTTTGGTCAAGTTCCTTGAAGTTGCAGTGAAGTGTTTCGTGTTGTGGCCAAGCGTTCCCTGCTTGTTCTTGAACCGGAGGCTGGGGACGGATTCTTTAACGGAATTCTATCGAGAAAATAGCCCAAAAAGAAAGAACAATTTGTTCCTCATAGTTCTTGCATAGCAGTTTTCTTCATGGATTCTCTTTGTCTAGGAAAATATAATACAACATAGAGAATAGACAAGTCTTCTGAGACTGAGATTAGTGGAAGTGGGTAGAAAGATGAGTGTCCTTGAGAATGCTTTGTGCAGTGAAGTGTCCTGATCACTTGGAAACATAGACTCTTACTTTGTTGGATTTGTCTTCCTGTATCTGACTTATTTATCCTGATTTTAGGTGGTAGGAAGGAACTCTTCAAGCTCTGAGCTGACAGAATACTGGCAAAAACAGTCCTTGGGAAATCATGCATGGAACACCAAGCAAGGTAGTCCAGGTTTGTATCAAGCTGAATTGCTAATTTAGCTTCATTATTTTTCTCTTCCTATTCTGTGTTTATATTCAACCATGTCTCAAGGTTTCTTGACAAGGACCCTCTTTTAATTTTGATCATTTACACTGAATTAATATAATTTCTTACAATTTACTTCTTTTCTTTTTGAAGTGGAAAATGACCATTTGATGTATTGCTCCTAACTGAGAAGAAAGCTTGTTTAACTAGCAACCACGCTACTTTGAGTGGGGTTTAAGTTCTTAGAACTTTTCCATTTAATCAACTGCTACAACTAGCTTCCATGGTCATCAGATTCCCTGCATTCACTACCATTATCATATGCTTCTTTTGTAATTCTCAAGAACCTCTTAAATTTTGGATACTGAAAGCTTATTGCCTCGACCTTTGCGTTTTCTTAAACAATATAGCTATAAGTAGCGAAGGTGCACGCTATAGCTTACCCAACAAGGACTGCAGTTCAGTTCTTCCGGAAGAAAGAGCAGAACCATGTTATCTAAGTTCATCTCTTTACTATGGTGGGCAAGAGGTGTATTCCCAGTCCCCAAGTACCCATGCCTCTGGATCCTACCCTATAGTGAGTCTTGATAAGTTGATCATCAACATAATACATAGACTGCTGTGATATTGATAGTATCAGCATGATTAACTGATAAAAATGATGTGAGAAACTGATTCTGTTCATTACTTTGTGATTGAATTAGTTCAAGAAAGATGGGGGAGAAGATGATCCTAACGGAAGCAATTCGAACAGTGCTGCCCGAGGAAATTGGTGGCAAGGTATTGCTATTACAGATGCCATTAATAGTAGTAAGTTGGTAGCATATAGAGTGATGTTGTAGAGTAGATCAGTCCCTGAACCTCTGACTTGTGTTTTTGCAGGTTCACTCTATTATTAGGACCTTTCCTTGCCTAGCCGTATGAATTCTTCATCTATTATTCAAGGTATATTCACTTTTAGATCCATTTCTCCAAATGGATTGCTCTTGTTGTTTTGACATCTTATTTCAGTCAGAATGTCTTTTAGCATTGTCTCTGAAAGTAGCTGATGTAAGCAGCCTTATGTATTTTCATTTTGCAGGTATTCATGAGGCTTAGGTTTTTAAAGTATGGAAGAAGTGTAATATAAATAAGTGACTGATGTGGGCATTGGTTGCAAAAGATGCTGAGCAGGAAGTGCAAAGCTTTTATGTCGGTATGATCAACTGTTTCTTTGGAGTTTTACCAACAAGTTCCGAGTTTCCGAAATGTTGAGTTCTTACTACTCTCCACTGGACTATGTTTCTATATTGAGTTTAAAAGTTGTTTTTTCTGTTAAATTGAAGCCTGCGATGTCTCGCAGGCTAATGGTATGAGCTTCTTGCTCTGAACATACATGCTTGAAGTGACTCTGGTTTCTTATGCAACGTGTTTTCTCATTATGATAGGTTTAGGGATTATGGTGTTTTGCTAAGAAATGCTACCCTTGAAGACTAATTGCATCTCCATTAGATTAGAAGTTTTCATAGTTGCTGGTCAAGCAAAACTCAAACTTTTTTTTTTCCTTCAAGAGAGTAAGAGGATACATGGAATTTTAGCAGAGAACAAAAAAAATGTCATAAAAAACCTCCACACTAGCTATCCTTGGCTTATCAGCCAATTTAATGCATATGGAAATTGTCAAAGATACTTACAGCTTCAATACAGATTGGATCTTCAGCCGTGTCTGGCCTTTTCTCCACTTGGTGGTTTTTTGTTAGAAAAGCTTGCTTCTAAAGCCGAAAATCCGGTGACAAGCCTCTAGTTCATCTTCAAGAAAAGTTTTCTACACTACCTGGTCCTCTGAACTTTCAAAATGTTGTAGTCTGATGCCATAATCATCCTTGGGGACTAGAGATATATGAAGGATCTGCTAATTAAGTGTTATGGAATCTGATATTGACAATAGTTGTCCCCTCTGTTCTCATCATTGGATATGCAAAGGAAAAGCCTTTCATAAGCAGCAGCCATTTTGGTAGCAGTGAACAATTGCAAACCTCTCTGCCTTGCTGCCTGGCCTTTCTGCTTTAAGTCTTCTCTGCCATCTTTCCAAACTCTATAGAGGGTCGTCTTTAGTGAAGCTATTGTTGGGGAAAATGTATATCCCACTTCTGTGCCAACAACCACAGAACCCGTAATGCTAGCAAGCCTTGTTGCCATTACTGGCTTCCCAGACAGCATTGCTTCTAACAAAGTATGATCCAATCCCTGAGCGCGTAGAGTCGGGTTCACAAAAATATCGACTGCGTTATAGAACTCAGCAAGCTGAGCTTGTTCCAGTGGCCCCAAAACAAGTACATTAGTTCCAAGATCTCTGTACCTAGCACCCCAAGGACCATTACCAGCAACCAGAACCACAATACTTTGCTGAAATGCTTCATTTTCCTTTAGCATTTGTTTCAAAGCCTCAAACATCAAGGGGTGCCCTTTATCCTTTACCAACCTTCCAGCCATTCCCAAAACCAGTGTCCTGGATTCAGGTACTCCAAATTTTTTCTTAAAGTCATTTCCCTTGGCAATGTCTGGCTTAAAAATATCCTCATCGACACCATTAAGAATAATGTGAACGCGATCATCCGGGAGCATGTAAATCCTCTTGAGTACATCTCCAACATGGTCACTGGTAGCAACATGGTGAGCATAACTGGGGAAAAACCTCACCTCTGCAATAACCTTCATAGTTCTTTCAGTCAATGCAGATCCCTGTGGTTCTTTGGGGCTGCGCAAAAGTTCTTGTATGATGTCAGAATGGATAGTCTCATATGCAATCCCATGCCAAGTAACAGCCAGGTTTGTCTGGTTACGCGATCGAGTGTGCAAGAGGCCCACGCTTTCAGTGTGGATCACATCAAAAGGCCTTCCTGTTGAGTTTTGAGTTTGAAACAGCTTCCAAACCAGAGCTTGGTCCAGATACCCAGCAGCAGTTGGTTTTGAGAGGTGAAAATACAAATTGCTTATTGGGTACCTTGGGAAGGAGGAATTTGAAGAAGGAGAAGTGGTAAAGATGTGAAGCTCATGACCCCTTTTGGCAAGTGCAAGGTGGAGGGTCAAGGCATGCCTTTCAAGCCCTCCTGCTTGAGATCTATGAGGCCATTTCTTGACAAACAGAGCAATTTTAAGAAGCTTCGGAGGCGGTTTTGAGGAAAAAGCAAGCTGATTCCATGCAGAAGGGAATGCAAAGAGGTCATTGATTTGGTTTTGCTTCAGCTCCATTTTTTGGTATAGAGAGTAGCCTGGACCATAGTAATGGCACCAGTAAATGAATGAGATAAATGACCACACACAGAACATCGAGACGATGCAGCAAAGACGGCGAAAGTTCAACACAGTAACTGAATCCTTCGCCATTGAAGAAGTATACTAAAGTAAAATTTGCAACTATACAGAGTGTACAACAACAACAAAAAGAAAGAACAAATCTTTTTTTTTTTTTTTGATGAAGAGAAAGAAAGAACAAATCTTTAAGAACACTTTTCCTCTGTTTCTGATTCAAATGGCATCTGCACATGGCCACCTACAAGACTAAATGTACAAGAGAAGCAGATCCTATACAAATTGGCAATCTCGATAGATTGTTTATGAAGAAATACGAACCTTGTCACAGAAGCAACATCCATTGACTTCATAAATTCATTTTGGCCTACCCAACAACCCAAATTTCAAGCCTTAATAAATTCATATATGAACAATTTGTCTCTACAGATAAAAATGTAAATTCAACTTCCCTTTTCATGGATTTATACTTTTCTATCGAGTAAAAGCGTGTAGCACAAGAAACACATAGATGACGAGGGCCAGAGGAACCAAAGTCACCAGAGGACCAATTGCAGCCAAAGTGTAGAAACTCCCACAACCCAACCTCCCCAATTTGATCTGAACCAAGTCCACCAGAGCCATCATCAAAAACCCACATCCCAAAACCGACCCGAAAGCCGAAACCAACGTCCCGACCCGCAAAGCGACCCGGTTCAAATGACCCATGTTGGTGCCACGGACGTGGTACCCGTAGCCACTGTCTTGGCCAGCGGCTCGGCTGAT